CGGCCGACGTTCAAAACGCAATTTATTTCATTTCCCATAAATGAGGCACGACAAATAAGTCTCTGCGCCCGTGCAGTTCGTCTGCAAACTCTCACCTCCTCAGCGCTGCGGGTACCACCCCACCAGCACCGCTGGCTGCTTCCCAGAGCAGCCGGGGCCCTGGCCCCCACCCTCCCCAGCATGCCTCCAGGTTTAATAAATGATACTCGGCCTTGTAAGAATGTGTATTAGTGACTTGATGGACCAAAGCGACTCCACTATGTATGAAGCATATTAAACATCATATCGACCCTCACTCTTGATGGCGGTAACATGCATAACAAACAGGCTCAGTCCACGGCTGCAGCTGCTCACGTGCAGCGGGGAGCGACAGGGTCACACGGGAAGCCTGAAATGCCACCAGGGACAATTGCTGGGGGTTTCTGCTAGCACAGGTTACTCCCGACGCAGAGCCCAGCTCTCCTGCAGCAAGTGGGGTTGGGGGAAATCGGGGGGTAGCTGGGAGAGCCAGGGCACCCATCACCATCCTGGTTTAGAACACGCAAACATGGGTACAGTGCTGCCGCCAACCATCATCTCGCTGTGTGGCGGATCCGGCCATGGAGCGCTTCCGAACCTCTTATCTGCCATGATTTATTCTTTAATTGGGAAAGCGTCTCGTGTCATAAACATTAGCAATCTAGCACCTCCTCCCATAAAAATGAAGCCTCTTATCTGTCTTTCATTGCCATATCCCTGTCTATCACCTTGTGCACTTATCAATCTCTCATACCTATCACTATAATATCTAAAGCCACACAGGAGGGGCCCTGGAAAGGCCCTAATACCTGATTTCTCTTACAACTCTTGCCTGCTCTTCTGTGCGTGTCTGCCAGGGGATAGCCCCTGCCTTTCTTTCTGGGCAGACCCATATGCGGGCGGTAAGATGAGGGGTACACAGCTGGCAACCCCTCAGGACCCTGGTTTGGACCAGCTCGGGACCCCCGTCTCTTCCCTGGCACAGCAAGAGATGCATTGCAATTCATCAGCTTTAATTATAACAAGGAGAAGAAAAACACCAAGAGGACCCATCTTGCATCAGGCAAGTGGCTGCAAACTGACACTCACGCAGAGCTGCAGAAGTTAAAACAAAATAAAACATCTTGGATCCTTTTTATCCTCTGCTCCTGTAATTTCAGCATGTCCAAACAGATTTTGGTGTGTGTTTATAACTGGTAACTTCATTTGCTCCCGGGCTGGGACCTTAAATGCCAAGTTTCATCTTCAAGTCAGTTTTTATGGCTGAGTTACATTAACTCCTGGGAGAAAAGGGAAAAAAGGAAATACATAAGGATATAAAAGAAAGTTGGGGGTTGTTAGAAAAAGCAGGTCCAAAGCCTCTAAGAGTGGGTCAGCAGGGCAAAAATCATAGATCTCATGGATACCTGCGTACAAACCCCGACAGCAAAAAGGTAGAAATCGGTTTCCTGATACACAAACTAAAGGCTCATCGTTGTATCTGATAAGGGAAAACACATCTGGGGGCAATGCTCCTCCGTGCCTCGCCAGGGCAGATCCAGGCTCTCGCCTGCCTGTACCACCCAAACGCCATTTGAGTCGTCGGTGCCGTAACAGCCTAAGATGAGCGTGGGCCTTCACGGCTTTGAGCATGTCCAAGGTGATCAGATAGCCTGCCAGCCAGTGTAAATGGCTTACCCCGCCACTGAGCACAGGTGGGGATCTGGCCCCAAACCTCGGGATCCCAAAGCACGCTTAGGTTGATGGCTGCAGCAGATATCAGGGTTATTAGACCCATGGCTGAAAATCTACCTTTGTAGACTCTAACACATGAAATTACCATAACTAGGACATTTCACACTCCTCTCCCATCAAGCTGTTTAGAGCAAATTAAATTTCTCCCTAACCAGCCTGTAACAGTTCATGTTAGATGTGGATCTAAATGTTAATTGCAGTGACAATAACAGGTCTGATCCTGCAGTCCTTATTTGGGTAAAGCCTCCCACAGAAGCCAAAGGAATTTTGCCCCAGAGAAGACAGCTGGATGCAGTCCCACATTTCCAGTCTCTTGAAGATGCCAGAAGGTAGCAAGGATATTTCTGTGATGTTACAAACCTTCTCTTTCCCTTTTCCCCCCCACCCGCCACCCCTCAATTCTTTAATGCACTATTAATTTAATAAGCTCTACCAGGCTGCCTAATGCTGTGCTCAACTTCAGCTTTGCGCTTCCTAGCTAAGGACTTTAATCATCATGGGGGGTGATGGGGGGATGTTAAGATAATTTTTGCAGGTCATTGGCTTGTACATCTGCTTGATGCAGGGATGCTTGAAGGTCCTACACTGTCTGGGAGAGCTGTCTTGTGAAACTGAGTGGCTCTTGTTCTCTCTGTCCTTGGGTAATGCAAATACCCTTTAGCCTGGGATGCTAAGGAAGGCAGGCTGATGTGGTGGGATGATTTGGGGTCTGCCTGTCCTCATTTGAACAGCTTTCAATCCCATGACTCAATTCTGGCCAAATCTGACAAAGAGAGATACTATGTTCATTCCCAGGTCAGAGACAGGTAGGCAAAGGCTTCTCCCTCCATCCCCACACTCCCTCTCTGTTGCCTCCACATGTGCTCAAGACATTTGGGGCAAAGGGATCTAGGTGCATGTGGCCATGGGCAGGAGGCAGGCACTGAGTTGCTTCAGGGGGCTGAGACCTGAGACTGCATTCAGAACTGGGCACCTGGGCCCAGTAAGGGGATTTGGAAATCATAGTTGGGTTCTCCCCCCCCCCCCAAGGGTCTCTTGTCCATAACCCAGAATTATCTTACGGGACAAAAGCAAAACCTGCTGTGCTTCCCCTACTGTTTCATGCCCTCCTGCAGAGTTAGAAAAAACATCTATTTCCCTCCCTGGCTGCATTTTATTACAGATTAAAGAAAGAATAAATACAAAGTCTGAGTGAGAAAGAACAGGAGAAGCTCACGGGCCATGTCTGGGCTCCATCTCCCCCAGCACAGCTAGGGGCAAGGCTGCAATGGGTGGCCAGAGCTACCCTGATGTAGGGGCAAGGGTGGTTGCAGCCACTGGCTGCATTGCTCATGGCATGGGGCTCCTGTACAGTCCGTCCCTCCCCGAGAAGGCTATGTGTGACTCCGGCAATCTGTTTGCATATGCGAGCTGAAAACCAAATGCAGACGGAGAAAGACACCTTCCACTCATGCACACTTTGTGGGACTTTTCCCAGGCTTGTCCTCAACTCCAGCAACCCGCTCCCCCAAAGACACTGCAGGTTCCAGGACCTTGAACCCTTTGGATGCCGTAGGACCAGGATCTGCGTTACCTGTCTCCTCCAGGAGACTTACCCCAGGCAGAAAGTTCCACAGTGCATGGACGTTTCAGCAGCGTGTATCTGGACTGTAGGTCTTCGGAACAGGACCTACCTCGTGTTCTCAGGGGCGAGAGGAGTTCACATGTTGCTTTTCTTCCCAGTATCAGCCAGGCTCCCTTGCAGCTAAGAGACACGGCAGGACTTTGGGGGACGGGACCATGGCATCACACAGGGAACCTGGAGTCAGAAAAGTGGAGG